ACAACACAGATATAAACAGAGCGCTGTATCATAGTGTCGTTGTTACGATACACAGATTGCGCTGCTCTAATTGCACAGTAATTACGACCAATGGCGCGGCAAATATCACTGCTGGAAATAGCGGAGTTTTGAGAAAAGTTATTAAATGCAACAGCTTATTAAACCGATTATATCGCCTGGGATTACTTATCTGTTTCATGGCTACCAGGGGGGTATTCGTAGGGGGTATTCATGGCTACCAGGGGGGTATTCGTAGGGGGTATTCATGGCTACCAGGGGGGTATTCGTAGGGGGTATTTGTGCGGTGCTAAAGGGTGTAATTAGGGGGTGTGTTATCGGGCTTATCAGCCTTAACTACTCAAGTATGATAAAGTATAGAGTATACTAAACTATACTCTGCGTGTATATGTATATGAATGGGGGGTACATAGCTCTCACTCGATGCGTTGTTCAATAAACAAGGTTGATTGTTCAATAAACCCTTGAACTATATGTTTAACACATCTCTAACCCTGTCCATGGAGGACAGAAGAAAATGTATATATGCTGGTTAGCATTGTAAATGTCTGGCCACGTCTGTGGTAGAAAATAATGAAAAAAAACTCGATGCGTATGATTCAATTATACTTTTTCATTATTAATGGATAGTAAAAATTCTTATAATTTATTAATAATAAATTCTAATTATTAACATTTATTATTCCTAATTTTAATTATAATAAACATAACATTCATATAATTACAAATAGTTATTATTTAAAAATATTTAATTAAAGCTTCTAGTGTTTTTTGGATTTATTAATTACCGTAATTGTAATAACTTAATAACTAGTAATTAAAAAGAATTATTTTTTATTATTTTTCGTTACCAAAATTGACGATAATGTGGACTGTAATGTCTAATAACATGGTAACAAATAACTAATCAAAGAAACAGTTTATTGAAAAAAATTTTTACGTTTTTCAAAAAATAAATCAAATTGAACACGATCAAATCATGAATGAATTATTCTCAACTTGTTAATTAGCTATATTTTTTTGCCTTAATCATGATCAACTCAACTATTTAACTTCTTACAGGAGTTTTAACACCAATAATAATATCGGAATTTGTTGATAATGTTCCTTGTATTAAAAATACAACAATTCCTGCATTTTTTTATAGCCCAAGCCTATTATATTTCACCTCGCTGAGAGGCTGGTTAGAAGGATAGATCCCATCCCCCCTTCTATTCCCCCAAGTGATAGAAGGGGGATAGACTAGCACCGAATCATCAGTTACTTGCTGTTAAATGTAAATAATTATCTTACGTATCATCTGTACGAGGTTCAAGTTGCCAAACTTGAATGGCTAAGAAATTCAGGTTCCAGATTTTCAAACATCAGGGCCCCGCCACGTGGTCCCGGGCCCCGCCACGTGGTCCAGGGCCCCGCCACGTGGTCCAGGGCCCCGCCACGTGGTACAGGGCCCCGCCACGTGGTCCAGGGCCCCGCCACGTGGTACAGGGCCCCGCCACGTGGTACAGGGCCCCGCCACGTGGTCCAGGGCCCCGCCACGTGGTACAGGGCCCCGCCACGTGGTCCAGGGCCCCGCCACGTGGTCCAGGACCCCGCCACGTGGTCCAGGGCCCCGCCACGTGGTACAGGGCCCCGCCACGTGGTCCAGGGCCCCGCCACGTGGTACAGGGCCCCGCCACGTGGTCCAGGGCCCCGCCACGTGGTACAGGGCCCCGCCACGTGGTCCAGGGCCCCGCCACGTGGTACAGGGCCCCGCCACGTGGTACAGGGACCCCACCAGAGCTTATAGCCAGAGCTGCGTTCGAGGCTGGAACAGAGACATCGAACTCAGCAAGAATTGCCTTCGATCTGGAACGAAGACTCTGCACCTTGCCAGAGATGCGTTGGATGCTGGAGCGAAGATGCCGCCCCTAGACACGCCAGGAGATGAGAGAGGGAGCCATGGAGACAATGGAGGGTGCCGGGGGTCGCGAGGAAGCCTTCCCAGGACGCAGTGACCGGCTAACAGGATCAAGGGCAGCAATAAAGGATCACGCACCCGGAAAATGGGATACGATCCTACGCATACGATCCTCACCTTATGATCCTCTTAGCGAGTTTTTCATATACTTGTGCACCCAAGAGTGGGTATCGACAAGTGATTTTTTTTTTCCACCTGGCGAGAAGGTTGAAAGAAGTATCGCCAAACAGCCGGGCTCGGAGAAAATCGCTCTGAGAACCCAAAATAAGCAATCAGATCCCCGTGAAATAGCACTCATCCCTTCCTAGTGATAGCGAGCGTCCGATCGAATCCCCGTTCCATAACCCCCCCCTACCCCACCCCCCACTCGGTTTCTTGCTATCCACCACTTCGCTATATTAATTATACCCCCCACCCCACCACGGACACAACACAGGGACGAACATTCCCTTGTTTTTCTCCCGACTCTTATCTTGAGGTTAGCTTGAGGTTATCTTGAGGTTATCTTATGATGATTTCGGGGCTTTTTAGTGTCCCCGCGGCCCGGTCCTCAACCAGGCCTCCACCCCCAGGAAGCAGCCCGTGACAGCTGACTAACACCCAGGTACCTATTTTACTGCTAGGTAACAGGGGCATAGGATGAAAGAAACTCTGCCCATTGTTTCTCGCCGGCGCCCGGGATCGAACCCGGGACCACAGAATCACAAGACCAGTGTGCTGTCCGCTCAGCCGACCGGCTCCCCAATAAGCTCTGGCAATAAGCCGTTCCTGGCACCTCCTTACCTCACACAAAGATGGTCGTCTGTTCCTTGTGGTAGACACTGCGGTATCCTCGCATCATCCAGCCTGTTGTGGTTGGCAGACAGTCGAGTATACAGTCTGGGGCATCGTAAATTACTTAACAATTCCTCTGTAACATGATATATAGTTCAAGTATTGCTTTACAAAATAATAATAGCCCATTGGAACACGCAACAGTCTGGCTGTTAACTCGTAGGCAATAGCCAGTCAGAGTAGTCATTCAGTCAGAGACAGTCTGACTACATATAGAAGCCACAGAGACAGTGTGTATACATATGGAAGACATAGAGACAGTCTGTATACATATAGAAGACACAGAGACAGTATGTATACATGTGGAAGACACAGAAACAGTCTGTATACACATAAAAGCCACAGAGACAGTTTGTATACACATGGAAGCCATAGAGAAAGTCTGTATACATATAGAAGCCACAGAAACAGTCTGTATACATATAGAAGCCACAGAGACAGTCTGTATACATATGGAAGACATAGAGAGTCTGTATACATATAGAAGACACAGAAACAGTCTGTATACATATAGAAGCCACAGAGACAGTCTGTATACATATGGAAGACATAGAGAGTCTGTATACATATAGAAGACACAGAAACAGTCTGTATACACATAAAAGCCACAGAGACAGTCTGTATATATATAGAAGCCACAGAGACAGTCTGTATACATATGGAAGACATAGAGAGTCTGTATACATATAGAAGACACAGAAACAGTCTGTATACACATAAAAGCCACAGAGACAGTCTGTACATATATAGAAGCCACAGAGACAGTCTGTACATATATAGAAGCCACAGAGACAGTCTGTATATATATAGAAGCCACAGAGACAGTCTGTATACATATGGAAGACATAGAGAGTCTGTATACATATAGAAGACACAGAAACAGTCTGTATACACATAAAAGCCACAGAGACAGTCTGTATATATATAGAAGCCACAGAGACAGTCTGTATATATATAGAAGCCACAGAGACAGTCTGTATATATATAGAAGCCACAGAGACAGTCTGTACATATATAGAAGCCACAGAGACAGTCTGTATACACATAGAAACCACAGAGACAGTCTGTACACATATAGAAGACACAGAGACAGTCTGTACACATATAGAAGACACAGAGACAGTATATACATATGGAAGACACAGAGACAGAGTTTACTGGCATATGTGATATACCCGAACAGAACGACTGCTTGTTCAGGTTTGTGAATGGGGACCTTGTGTTGGACAAGCTTGCGTGTGCCGGAGATTGACGTGTGCTTCCAGAAACCGGTTCGGTTCTGTGTTTACGGCAAGTCCTTTATCCTGGGTCCAGATGAGGTTCCCTTCCCGTTTGGTACTGTGTGTGTGTGTGTGTGTGTGTGTGTGTGTGTGTGTGTGTGTGTGTGTGTGTGTGTGTGTGTGTGTGTGTGTGTGTGTGTGTGTATTTACCCATTTCAACTTGCAGGATCGTGCTGTTAGCTCTTTTGGACACCGTCTTTCTAACTGCAAATTGTCCAATGCGTTGATTCCAAACTTATTTTTCTTCTATGGAATCTACTACATATTCCTCTCACACACACACACACACACACACACACACACACACACACACACACACACACACACACACACACACACACACACACACATATATATATATATATATATATATATATATATATATATATATATATATATATATATATATATATATATATATATATATATATATATATATATATATATATATATATATATATATATATAATCCGTAGCAGCTCCCATATTCCCTGTCGCACCTTTTCCCTGCTGCTCCGGCCTCTTCAACATCTGCACCAGCCTCTGATGGGGTACTCTGTCAAAGGCTTTCCGACAATCCAAAAATGTGCAGCCTGTCCACCCTTCTCTTTCTCGTCTAATTTTTGTCTCCTGGCCTTAGCATTCTTAGCTTTCTGCTCCCTTTTATAGAATCCTTGATGGTATTCTGTCTAGACCAATGGCATTTGTTGAGGCCAAACTGGTGGAAGATCTATCTGGAACCTCTTGCTGAGTTTGTCACATATCTCCTTGTCATTCTCAGTGATCCTCTGTTACCCTTTTCTGTTTCATTATCTGTTTTCATTTCTGGTCCTCTGGTATATTCCTCTGCTCCGTGGTGTTCTGGTAGTCTTGTAGTTTTGCTATACTTTTGTATTCAGTGGCTTTACCTCCTTGCAGACCTGATTAAACCATGAGTTCCTCTTTTGCATTCCTTTTTTTTCCTTTCGGACCTGGAAAATCTTGTCTGCTGCCTCCTTATAATTCTGGGTGATGTCCATCATGTCATGTGCAGCCTTTTCTTCCTGGTTCGTTTTCCCATTTAGTTCTATAAGGAATTTTCTCATATTGTAATTTTCCTTTCGGAATGCCAACCTATTGTTTTCTGGCCTCTTGAGGAAGCTCTGAATACTTCCACCAGATACTCAAACGTCAATACACTGTAATCACTCATTCCCACTGGGGCTTCCAAACTGATTTCCCTTAAGGCTGACTCGTTCAAGGTGAACACCAACTCAAGAGAAAGGGTCATTGCGTCTCATTCTTGTGTGTGTCTCGGCGTCCTGGATGTTCGCTGTTGCCACGTTCAATAGTTTAGCTCTCCATGTTTCTGTATCCTCAAGTGGTTCTTGGTTCTCCCTGTCTATCTGTCCTGGGTTGAAGTCTCATGTGATTAGAGGTGTGAATCTATTCATACAAGCGTCAGAGGTTGTCCGATTATTGTAATAATTGTTATGTTTCTGTCGTACTCCTGTCGACCTGAGGAGGCCTGGTCGACGACCGGGCCGCGGGGACACTAAGCCCCGGAAGCACCTCAACGTAACCTCCTCTCTGGACCTTTTGTCCAGAGAGGACCTTTTATTTTATTTCTCTCTATCATGTTTTATATGTAACTGTTACAACAGTCTTCGCTCCTTACCTTGTCTTGGTGATTGTGATTTGTCTTGGTGTCTTTGGCATTGTCTGAGCCCTTCACAGCTCGGGAGATCCATCTCCTTATAACTCGGTCCTCTCTTATCAGCACGTCCACTCTCTTCCTTGCTGTCCCTCTCCTCACTACACTGTGGTCCTGGGTATACACACTGCATTCGTTGTGATGCCTGATTGTTTCGTTTCTGTGAGTGCTGTTACATCTGGGTTTTTTCTTCTGCATTCCCCAAGTTCGCTTGCTTTATATGTAATGCCATCTGTGTTAGTGTTTGTGTGCGCTTAATTATTTGTGTCTGCAGTATTAAGCATTAGCTCTTGGATTCCACCTTTTTAGCTGCCAGTTGCGTAATGCAATGAATCTTGACCTAATTCCCATGTCAGCTTTTAAAATTATAAATGGAGTTTGGGTTTTACAACCTACTGTTATACTTCATTCTATTTTCCCGCTACTCTTATGGTAAAATAAAACTTTCTAATATCTCTATGACTAAGCTGAGGCTCAAGCTCTCATCCATGCCCTCCTGATGTGAACTTTTCCTCTTTTTCCACTTTGCCAATCTCTCTAAGCATTTTCCCGCCAAACACACACCGAAACTACGACGTTGGTACAACGTTCGAACAAGTTTTAACACCACCTAACCAGTTATAACAACAAATATAGCAAGTTGTAACAACGTTCTAATACGTTATAAACACGTTAAGCCAAGATGTAACAACTTTATTACTAGTTGTAACAAGCGGAAAATAGAGACAGTTTCGGTTTGTGTTTCCAGGGTTATACCTTTCTATCATGTCTCCCCTCTTTCTTTTCTAGCGTCGTCAGTTGTAGTTCCTTCAGTCTCCCTTCATTCCTCATCCCTCGCAATTCTGGGACGAGCCTTGTTGCATTCTTCTGAACCTGTCCAGTGTGTGTGTATTTACTATTTGTATTTTATTATTTGTGTCTGCAAAATCAAGGTATTTAGCTCTTGGACCCCGTCTTTCTAACCAATCTATTTTTCCTCTATTATGTCTGCTACATATATATATATATATATATATATATATATATATATATATATATATATATCTAACATACGCACACGCACACCAGGGGCGCTGGTGGCTAAGTGGATAGGACGCTGGACACGTAATCTTGTGGACCGGGGGTTCGATTCCCGGAGCCGGCAAGAAACAAAATGGGCAGAATTTCTTTCATCCTGATGCCCCTGTTACCTAGCAGTAAATAGGTACTTGGGAGTTAGACAGCTGTTATGGGCTGCTTCGTGGGGGGGGGGAGGGGGCAGTAGTTAGTAACAGTTGATTGATTGACATTGAGAGGCGGCTCGAAAAAGCAGCCCAACCACCGCAAGCACAACTAGGTGAATACACACACCCCCAGGAAGCAGCCCGTAGCAGCTGTGTAACTCCCAGGTACCTGTTTACTGCTAGGTGAACATGGGCACCAGGGAGAAAGAGACTCTGCTCATTTGTTTCCGCCTCCGCCGGGAATCGAACCCGGGCCATTAGGACTACGACCCCCGAGCGCCGTCTACTCAGCCGCGAGTATAGTAAAACAGAGGAGAGAGGCATGAGACATAAGATAAGATAAGGGGGGAAGAGAGATTAAGAAAGAGTGAACATGCGGAATGTTTAAATTAGAGGGAATGACATTAGGGGAACTATATGAAAAGGGCTAGAACGAATAGGAAGCGACGATGCAAGAAGGGAAAGGGTGGAGAGAAACTACAAAAGCCGGGAAAGGGAGAGGGAGAAACGGGTAAAGGAAGAGAAAGGGTAATATGAGATAGAAGATAAAGATGTGAGTTGGTCTTGGAGGGGGAATAGGGGAAAGATATAGGATTGGTGGATGGTGGTGGGTGGTGGTGATGGTGGTGGGTGGTGGGTGGTGGTGATGGTGATGGTGGTGGTGATGGGTGGTGGAGATGGTGGTGGGTGGTGGGTGGTGGTGATGGTGGTGATGGTGGTGGTGGTGATGGTGATGGGTGGTGGTGATGGTGATGGGTAGTGGTGATGGATGGTGGTGATGGGTGGTGGTGATGGTGATGGGTAGTGGTGATGGATGGTGGTGATGGGTGGTGGTGATGGGTGGTGGTGGTGATGGTGATGGGTGGTGGTGATGGTGATGGGTAGTGGTGATGGATGGTGGTGATGGGTGGTGGTGATGTCTGGGGGGGGGGAGTGCATACCTAACAGTTCTTACCTAAGAGTAACTACTGGATAGTAAGGACCATAGCTCTTCACACCCTCCTACTCTGCCTTTCCTGACGTCTGATATCTTTATCCACTCTGGACCTAAGAGTGAAGACAGAGGTGGCTTCTATACCTTCATCTTTCAGCACCGTCCACTTGTTAACTAACTAACTAACTAACTAACTAACTAACTAACTAACTTGTGTAACTAGCGCTTGCTTGATGTTTAGACTGTTTTCCAGTATAAAAATTCTTGTCTTCCTACTCTACCTCCCTCAGTATCTTGTATATTGTGATCATATTTCCACAACTTATCCTCGAACCGAAACCATCTATGTTTCAGCACTAATCTTGTTGTTAAACTCTGTACGTTGTTTTAATTCTTGTTTCGTGCTTCACAGAGTGCAGGTTACCCGGATATCTGTTCTGCATATGCCAGTAGTACTATAAGTGAGCTTGTGTACCTTGCATTTATAAAGGACATTGTTTAGGTTTTAAAATGTTGCAATGCTTGGCGGCCTCTCATGTGCTGCTGATGTTACATTGTCTAGGTGTGTGTCTGAGGCGCTTGTGCTGGTATTGTATCCGCAGGAGGCCTGGTCTAGGACCGGGCCGCCGGGACGTTGAGCCCCGAAATCATCGCAAGGTAACCGCATGGTAACGTCTGTTTTTCCCTTTGAACTCTCCCGGACTCAATTCTGTACTGTCTTCATTACACTTATTAGGGGGTTGAACTCTAACAGCCACTTGTCTACCCTTTCCTGTAGCTCGTCAAGAGTTTACTGCAACTCTCCGCACATATCCTCAGTCTTTTTGTCCCCTCATTAGATTTACTAAAAAAAAAAAATACTGGACAGAGATGGGTAGACGACATATTTATTGTTTAATAAAATCCTTTGACACTTTTCCGCACAAATAACTGCCACAGGCTTAACCACCAGGCTGGAGCAAATGATCGACAACTGTTAAGGGTAAAAAAAAAGTACCTAACAGAGGGGAAACAGAGAGTCACAGTGAGTCCCGTACAATGGGTCTCAGGGTCCCTACTATTAACCATCTATGAGGATGATACCAAAGTAATGAGTGGGGAACCCTCAAACACTACAGAACATGGCGTGAAGACCCGGACAGACTGCATGGAGAGTTAATCCCAGAAATGGCTGCTGGAATTTAATACCCCAGTCAGTGTAAGGTGATGACAGATTGACGGACTCTGGTAAAAGGCATGACAGATTAACTGGAACCGAGAGTCGTGTATGTGTGTGTGTCTGTCTCTCTCTCTCTCTCTCTCTCTCTCTCTCTCTCTCTCTCTCTCTCTCTCTCTCTCTCTCTCTCTCTCTCCCTCAGTGAACTTGTGTAATAATTGGAGTCGGGGCTCACTCTTGCGTGTAATCACATCAGAGCTGGCGAGCGCTCCCAGAGCCTGCCTGGGTGTAGCAGGGTGTAGCCCCAAGTCTGGGTGTAGCCCCAAGTCTGGGTGTAGCAGGGTGTAGCCCCAAGTCTGGGTGTAGCCCCAAGTCTGGGTGTAGCAGGGTGTAGCCCCAAGTCTGGGTGTAGCCCCAAGTCTGGGTGTAGCCCCAAGTCTGGGTGTAGCAGGGTGTAGCCCCAAGTCTGGGTGTAGCCCCAAGTCTGGGTGTAGCAGGGTGTAGCCCCAAGTCTGGGTGTAGCCCCAAGTCTGGGTGTAGCCCCAAGTCTGGGTGTAGCAGGGTGTAGCCCCAAGTCTGGGTGTAGCAGGGTGTAGCCCCAAGTCTGGGTGTAGCAGGGTGTAGCCCCAAGTCTGGGTGTAGCAGGGTGTAGCCCCAAGTCTGGGTGTAGCCCCAAGTCTGGGTGTAGCAGGGTGTAGCCCCAAGTCTGGGTGTAGCAGGGTGTAGCCCCAAGTCTGGGTGTAGCAGGGTGTAGCCCCAAGTCTGGGTGTAGCAGGGTGTAGCCCCAAGTCTGGGTGTAGCCCCTAGTCTGGGTGTAGCAGGGTGTAGCCCCAAGTCTGGGTGTAGCAGGGTGTAGCCCCAAGTCTGGGTGTAGCAGGGTGTAGCCCCAAGTCTGGGTGTAGCAGGGTGTAGCCCCAAGTCTGGGTGTAGCAGGGTGTAGCCCCAAGTCTGGGTGTAGCAGGGTGTAGCCCCAAGTCTGGGTGTAGCAGGGTGTAGCCCCAAGTCTGGGTGTAGCAGGGTGTAGCCCCAAGTCTGGGTGTAGCAGGGTGTAGCCCCAAGTCTGGGTGTAGCCCCAAGTCTGGGTGTAGCAGGGTGTAGCCCCAAGTCTGAGTCTAGTAGGGTGTAGCCCCAAGTCTGAGTGTAGCAGGGTGTAGCCCCAAGTCTGAGTGTAGCAGGGTGTAGCCCCAAGTCTGGGTGTAGCAGGGTGTAGCCCCAAGTCTGAGTGTAGCAGGGTGTAGCCCCAAGTCTGGGTGTAGCCCCAAGTCTGAGTGTAGCAGGTTTACATATATACCTTTTATATATGTACAATATATATACCTTTTCTATATACCTATATACCTCTTGAAAAAATATATATATATACCTTTTCGAACTAAAACTTTAAGAACAAAATCCAGCCTTCTGTAGTTCCATAATCTGCCATATAAACCCAGTTCATTAGGTTTAACAGGTGAAATATACACAAGCCTCGTATATTTACTAAGCTCCGTTAACAGAATACAAAATGTGTATCTCCTCCGCCCACTTACAAGGACTCAAGAGTAAGTCAATTCACGTAACGAATTGTTTACCTTGAAACAGAGACTACAAAAAAATACAAAATAGTCCACAACATGTTTACGTCCAGTATTTTTCTGTGACATAAAAAACAACGGCTTTTATAATACCGTTAAACAATTTTAAAATTCAAATTCGAATCAGTTGTTCAGAATAAAGAAAAAACAGTTCCCGCCCTATCCACGTGTGGGATTATGGGGCTTTGGGGAGCCGCAGTTTGGGACCTTCCAGTTTGGGACCTTCCAGTTTGGGACCTTCCAGTTTGGGACCTTCCAGTTTGGTGATTATAATATATATCTATATATGGTCACTTGGACCAGAGGAGAAATTGAACTCGGACCTGCAAAATACACACGAAAATCACTTCTTCTTTTTTAAATTCTGGGTCAACCGTTTTTTTGTATTCTAAAAACTTCTTACCCTCAAACTTTCTTGCCCCTTTACCCTTCCCTCACCCTTCCCTCACCCTCCCCTCACCCTTCCCTCACCCTTCCCTCACCCTCCCCTCACCCCTCACCCTCCCTCACCCTCCCCTCATGCCGTCTCGGGGCCGACATATTAGTAAGCCATAATGAGGTTGGTAACTTCGGACGGAAGTTGGTTGTGAAACTCTGATTCTTGGTCCGCCTCGGTGAAAACTGCATGGTTTTATTTTGTTATATATTTGTACGCTCTGTTGATACATTGGTCCCTCTTCCTGTGGAGCCTCTTCCTGTGGAGCCTCTTCCTGTGGAGCCTCTTGTTGTGGAGCCTCTTCCTGTGAAGCCTCTTCCTGTCGAGCCTCTTCCTGTGGAGCCTCTTCCTGTGGAGCCTCTTGTTCTTCCTGTGAAGCCTCTTGTTCTTCCTGTGAAGCCTCTTCCTGTGGAGCCTCTTGTTCTTCCTGTGAAGCCTCTTCCTTTGAAGCCTCTTGTTCTTCCTGTGAAGCCTCTTCCTGTGGAGCCTCTTGTTCTTCCTGTGAAGCCTCTTCCTTTGAAGCCTCTTGTTCTTCCTGTGAAGCCTCTTCCTTTGAAGCCTCTTGTTCTTCCTGTGAAGCCTCTTGTTCTTCCTGTGAAGCCTCTTGTTCTTCCTGTGAAGCCTCTTCCTGTGGAGCCTCTTCCTGTGGAGCCTCTTGTTCTTCCTGTGAAGCCTCTTGTTCTTCCTGTGAAGCCTCTTCCTGTGGAGCCTCTTCCTGTGAAGCCTCTTGTTCTTCCTGTGAAGCCTCTTGTTCTTCCTGTGAAGCCTCTTCCTGTGGAGCCTCTTCCTGTGGAGCCTCTTGTTGTGGAGCCTCTTCCTGTGGAGCCTCTTCCTGTGGAGCCTCTTGTTGTGGAGCCTCTTCCTGTGGAGCCTCTTCCTGTGGAGCCTCTTCCTGTGGAGCCTCTTCCTGTGGAGCCTCTTCCTGTGGAGCCTCTTCCTGTGGAGCCTCTTCCTGTGAAGCCTCTTCCTGTGGAGCCTGTTCCTGTGGAGCCTCTTCCTGTGAAGCCTCTTCCTGTGGAGCCTCTTCCTGTGGAGCCTCTTCCTGTGAAGCCTCTTGGTCTTCCAGTGAAGCCTCTTGGTCTTCCAGTGAAGCCTCTTGGTCTTCCTGTGGAGCCTATTGTTCTTCCTGTGAAGCCTCTTCCTGTGGAGCCTCTTCCTGTGGAGCCTCTTCCTGTGGAGCCTCTTCCTGTGGAGCCTCTTCCTGTGAAGCCTCTTCCTGTGGAGCCTCTTCCTGTGGAGCCTCTTCCTGTGAAGCCTCTTCCTGTGGAGCCTCTTCCTGTGGAGCCTCTTCCTGTGAAGCCTCTTGGTCTTCCAGTGAAGCCTCTTGGTCTTCCAGTGAAGCCTCTTGGTCTTCCAGTGAAGCCTCTTGGTCTTCCCGTGAAGCCTCTTGTTCTTCCAGTGAAGCCTCTTGTTCTTCCAGTGAAGCCTCTTGTCCTTCCAGTGAAGCCTCTTGTTCTTCCAGTGAAGCCTCTTGTCCTTCCAGTGAAGCCTCTTGTCCTTCCCGTGAAGCCTCTTGTCCTTCCAGTGAAGCCTCTTGTCCTTCCCGTGAAGGCTCTTGTCCTTCCAGTGAAGCCTCTTGTCCTTCCCGTGAAGGCTCTTGTCCTTCCCGTGAAGCCTCTTGTCCTTCCCGTGAAGGCTCTTGTCCTTCCCGTGAAGCCTCTTGTCCTTCCCGTGAAGGCTCTTGTCCTTCCCGTGAAGCCTCTTGTCCTTCCCGTGAAGGCTCTTGTCCTTCCCGTGAAGGCTCTTCCAGTGGGGCCACACCGGGCCAGGTCAACACTTTCTGGACCATTGCAAATCACATTTACAAGGCGGGCCGCCTGCTACACCCTCGCTCTATAGCAGTTTATCATTTACTCAGAGTAAATGATGCTCTGCGGCTCTATACACACATGTGGGGCCTCGCGGCTCTAGGGGTCGTGGTCCTTATGGTCCCGGGTTCGATTCCCGGCGGAGGCGAAAACAAATGGGCAGAGTTTCTTTCACCCTGATGTAACTGTTCATTTAGCAGTAAGTAGGTACCTGGGAGTTAGACAGCTGTTACGGACTGCTTCCTGGGGATGTGTGTGTGTACTCACTTAGTTGTACTTGCAGGGGTTGAGCTCTGGCTGTTTGGTTCCGCCTCTCAATTACTGTACAGGTTCCTGAGCCTATTGGGCTCTATCATATCTACATTTGAAACTGTGTATGGAGTCAGCCTCCACCACATCACTTCCTAATGCATTCCACTTGTTAACTACTCTGACACTACAGTGTCAGAGTAGTTAGTAAATGGAATGCATTCCAACCATCTACAATCATTAAAGTAGATACTTAAAGGAGACTTGCAGAGGTCCCGCTACGAAGGCTGGATCCAAGAGCTGAATCTCGATCCTATAGACACATATGAGTATTTATGAACCCCTTCCCAAGTCGTAGCGCCGCTGACAAGCGCCGTGACGACCATAGTCGTGGTGGTTGACAACTCCACGAATCCAATTTCATCACCTTACGGGAGGGAAAAATGGCGTGTCGTACTGCAGAGGAAACTTACTGTTGTGGGGAGCGGTACGTCTGGCAGCGCCGCCCTGCTGACTAATTAGCTGAGTTTTGGCGGGAAAATTGAGTAATCCATCAGTGTGTTGAGAGAGAGAGAGAGAATAGGTCTCACCCCCCCCCCCCCGCCAACCTTAGCTTGTGAAATCTCTAAGCTCATAAGCAGTTTAATATAATCCAAGCCTCCATAGTTAAGGAAAGATAGACAGGTTTCGTCATTAGTAGCGTAAATCCTCAATGAATCCTGACCCAGGTGCTGGTGGTAAGGGGAAATACCAAACCCCCAAGAGGACACAATGCAAAACATATGAGGAAATTCTGAAACAGCTAAAATTTCAACAGAAAACGACAGACAGGACACAAAACGTGTCACCGCGGATGTTGAGAGATGGGAGAGTTGCCCAGCAGTTAGAAGACGGCCAATGTGACACAAGTACACCTGGAAGGAGGTGTTAATCTACACCTTAACATCATCAACAAACATCAAATGCAAAACATCTGAAAGAATACTAAGGAAAAAGACAATTTGAACATCTTGATAGAAATATGTTTGTAAACAAACATGATCACGACTTTTAGACAGTTGTATGAATCTATTTGGGGCTTTATATAGCCGAGGTGCAGAGGCACACTGCGTTTTCTTGACTGGAGAAAGCCTTAGACATAGTCCTGGCATCAAAGATTACCACAGAAACTTGAGAAGCTGGCGGGAGTGACTGGAAGAGCATTCCCTTCCCCCCTCCCTTGCCCCACAATTCCCCCTCGTTCCTCCCTATTCTCCTTCCCTCTCTCCCCTCCCTTAAACACCACCCCCCTTCCCACTGAAGCAAGATGGAAGGTAGTTAGACATGTGGGAGGATTCCGTCAATTACTGCCAAGCTTGGGCTAATGAGGGGCACTAATTACTCCTGATTATTCACCTGGCGGACTTACCTGTCAACAACTTGTCCTCTCTCCCTGTACCCGCCTGGCTGTACCTACAGGTGTGTACTGTACCCGCCTGGCTGTACCTACAGGTGTGTGCTGTACCCGCCTGGCTGTACCTACAGGTGTGTACTGTACCCGCCTGGCTGTACCTACAGGTGTGTACTGTACCCGCCTGGCTGTACCTACAGGTGTGTACTGTACCCGCCTGGCTGTACCTACAGGTGTGTGCTGTACCCGCCTGGCTGTACCTACAGGTGTGTGCTGTACCCGCCTGGCTGTACCTACAGGTGTGTGCTGTACCCGCCTGGCTGTACCTACAGGTGTGTACTGTACCCGCCTGGCTGTACCTACAGGTGTATACTGTACCCGCCTGGCTGTACCTACAGGTGTGTACTGTACCCGCCTGGCTGTACCTACAGGTGTATACTGTACCCGCCTGGCTGTACCTACAGGTGTGTACTGTACCCGGCTGGCTGTACCTACAGGTGTGTGTACTGTACCCGCCTGGCTGTACCTACAGGTGTATACTGTACCCGCCTGGCTGTACCTACAGGTGTGTACTGTACCCGCCTGGCTGTACCTACAGGTGTGTGTACTGTACCCGCCTGGCTGTACCTACAGGTGTGTGTACTGTACCCGCCTGGCTGTTTACCTACAGGTGTGTACTGTACCCGCTTGGCTGTACCTACAGGTGTGTGTACTGTACCCACCTGGCTGTACCTACAGGTGTGTGTACTGTACCCGCCTGGCTGTACCTACAGATGTGTACTGTACCCGCCTGGCTGTACCTACAGATGTGTACTGTACCCGCCTGGCTGTACCTACAGGTGTGTACTGTACCCGCCCGGCTGTACCTACAGGTGTGTACTGTACCCGCCTGGCTGTACCTACAGATGTGTACTGTACCCGCCTGGCTGTACCTACAGGTGTGTACTGTACCCGCCCGGCTGTACCTACAGGTGTGTACTGTACCCGCCTGGCTGTACCTACAGGTGTGTACTGTACCCGCCTGGCTGTACCTACAGATGTGTACTGTACCCGCCTGGCTGTACCTACAGATGTGTACTGTACCCGGCTGGCTGTACCTACAGATGTGTACTGTACCCGCCTGGCTGTACCTACAGGTGTGTACTGTACCCGGCTGGCTGTACCTACAGGTGTGTACTGTACCCGCCCGGCTGTACCTACAGGTGTGTGTACTGTACCCGCCTGGCTGTACCTACAGGTGTGTACTGTACCCGCCTGGCTGTACCTACAGGTGTGTACTGTACCCGCCCGGCTGTACCTACAGATGTGTACTGTACCCGCCTGGCTGTACCTACAGGTGTGTACTGTACCCGCCCGGCTGTACCTACAGGTGTGTACTGTACCCGCCTGGCTGTACCTACAGGTGTGTACTGTACCCGCCTGGCTGTACCTACAGGTGTGTACTGTACCCGCCTGGCTGTACCTACAGGTGTGTACTGTACCCGCCTGGCTGTACCTACAGGTGTGTGTACTGTACCCACCTGGCTGTACCTACAGGTGTGTGTACTGTACCCGCCTGACTGTACCTACAGGTGTGTGTACTGTACCCGCCTGGCTGTACCTACAGGTGTGTACTGTACCCGCCTGGCTGTACCTACAGGTGTGTACTGTACCCGCCTGGCTGTACCTACAGGTGTGTACTGTACCCGCCTGGCTGTACCTACAGGTGTGTACTGTACCCGCCTGGCTGTACCTACAGGTGTGTACTGTACCCGCCCGGCTGTACCTACAGATGTGTACTGTACCCGCCTGGCTGTACCTACAGGTGTGTACTGTACCCGCCTGGCTGTACCTACAGGTGTGTACTGTACCCGCCTGGCTGTACCTACAGGTGTGTACTGTACCCGCCTGGCTGTACCTACAGGTGTGTACTGTACCCGCCTGGCTGTACCTACAGGTGTGTACTGTACCCGCCTGGCTGTACCTACAGATGTGTACTGTACCCGCCTGGCTGTACCTACAGGTGTGTACTGTACCCGCCTGGCTGTACCTACAGGTGTGTACTGTACCCGCCTGGCTGTACCTACAGGTGTGTACTGTACCCGCCCGGCTGTACCAGGCGGGTACTACTAATAATAATATTTGCGTAATAATATTTTTTTTTCACTTTGTGATTTTATTTCATATTCACGTAAAACTTCACTCACCCTCCCCCCCCCCCCTCACCCTACACCCACCACTCACTCAGTCTGTCATTCACCCACTAGTTTATTCACTTATCCCATTTTAGTTACGAGCTCGCCCCCTTCATTCATCACTTCATTCACTGACTCATTGACTCGGTAGCGTTCCACGCCGTGACTCTGTACACCCAGACTCTATTCTCCCCTCACCAGAGCCCCACCAGAGCCCCTAGAGTCCCATCAGAGTCACTAGAGCCCCACCAGAGCCCCTATAGAGCCCCACCAGAGCCCCTAGAGCCCCACCAGAGCTCCTAATCCCCCACCAGAGCCCCTAATCCCCCATCAGAGCCCCACCAGAGCCCCAAATCCCCCATCAGAGCCCCACCAGAGCCCCTAATCCCCCACCAGAACCCCCTAGAGCACCACCAGAGCTCCTAATACCCCACCAGAGCCATTAGTCCCCCCACCAGAGCCTCTATAGAGCCTGTGACCCCCACCAGAGCGGGCATCAAGAGCAGTACGCTACTATACCCCCCCACCCCCCACCCCCTCATCCCTCTATTATGACAAAATACGACGATAATATAATTGTTTTACGCGCGGCGTGATTGACATGATGGTGATAGGCGTCAGGGGCGACGATGGCGCATCCATCACGGCTGTTTTTTTTAGTGCCTAATAGGTCAGAATTATACGTTGAATGAGGTCGTTGGTCAAGCTCTTGTGGATGGTATTCGATGATGGATTGAGTGGTTGGAATTGCGTGCGTGCGTGTGTGTGTGTGTGTGTGTACTCATCTATTTGTGCTTGCGGGGGTTGAGCTTTGGCTCTTTGGTCCCGTCTCTCAACTGTCAATCAACTGGTGTACAGATTCCTAAGCCTACTGGGCTCTATCATATCTACACTTGAAACTGTGTATGGAGTCAGCCTCCACCACATCACTGCCTAATGCATTCCGTCTGTTAACTACTCGGACACTGAAAAAGTTCCTTCTAACGTCTCTGTGGCTCATGTGGGTACTCAGTTTCCACCTGTGTCCCCTTGTTCGCGTACCACCAGTGTTGAATAGTTTATCCTTGTTTACCCAGTCGATTCCTCTGAGGATTTTGTAGGTTGTGATCATGTCTCCCCTTACTCTTCTGTCTTCCAGTGTCGTAAGGTGCATTTCCCGCAGCCTTTC